GGGCAGCCGTGAGTATCGGGCTGGAGGTCAACAGACCACCCAGTCCCGAGCCCTCGTGGCTGGATGATTGGTTTCTCGGAGCGGGACGCGGCTCACAACCACGTTCTGCCCTTCTTCCCGGAGGTGCATGAGGAGCTGACAAAGTCGTGGATGGCCCCTTTTACGGCCAGAAGCCGCTCGTCTCCCTTCTCCGTCCTCACTACCCTCGATGGCGGGGCGGCCAGAGGGTACGCTGACATTCCCCAGGTGGAGAGAGCGGTTGCGGTGCACTTGTGCCCGCAAAACGTCGCCACCTGGAGGAATCGTCCGCGCCTCCCATCCAAAGCCTGTAAGCTGACAGCCGCTCTCGCGGCCAAGGCTTGCAGTGCTGCGGGCCAGGCTGCCTCTGCCCTGCATGCCATGGTCATCCTGCAAGTTCACCAGGCCAAGGCACTCAAAGCAATGCACGAGGGTAATTCCGACCCGAGGTTGATGCAGGAGCTGCGCTCGGCGACTGACTTCTCCCTACGGGCGACAAAAGTCACGCCACGGTCCCTCGGGAAGGCGATCAAGAAGTGGGCATCAGGATCCTCAACTATATCGACGACTGGCTCATTATGGCCCGGTAGCGAGATCAGTTGTGTGATCACAGGGACCTGGTGCTCCGGCACCTCAGCCAGTTGGGGTTTTGGGTCAACTGGGAAAAGAACAAGCTCTCCCCTGTGCAGAGAATCTCTTTTCTCTGTGTGGAGTTAGACTCGGTGAGTATGACGGCGCGACTCACCAATGAGCATGCCCAGTCAGTGCTGGACTGCCTGAGTTCCTTCAGAGGCAGGACGGTGGTACCACTGAAACACTTTCAGAGGCTCCTGGGGCATATGGCATCCGCAGCCGCAGTCACCCCGCTTGGATTGCTCCATATGAAACCACTTCTGCACTGGCTAAACTCCCGAGTCCCGAGGTGGGCATGGCGCCGCGGTACACATCGTGTCACCATCACACCGACGTGTCACCACCTATTCAGCCCCTGGTCGGACCTTGCTTTTCTACGGGCTCGTTGTCACAACGGATGCCCCCAGTACGGGCTGGGGTGCTACATGCAATGGGCAGGCAGCCTCGGGGCTCTGGACCGGGCCCCGACTGCTTTGGCACATTAATTGCCTAGAGCTGTTGGCAGTGCATCTGGCCTTGCGGCAGTTCTGGCCACTGCTGCAAGACAAGCACGTGTTGGTCCACACGGACAACACTGCGGCGGTTTCGTACATCAACCGGCAGGGAGGTCTACGATCATGTCGCATGTCACAGCTCACCCGCCATCTCCTCCTCTGGAGTCAGACTCCTCAAATCGCTGCGCGCCGTCCACATTCCGGGGGAGCTCAATCGTGCAGCCGATGCGCTCTCGAGACAGCTCATGTTCCCCAGAGAATGGCGACTCCATCCCGAGACGATCCAGTTGATCTGGAGTCGATTCGGGGAAGCCCAGGCGGACCTGTTTGCTTCCCGCGAGTCCTCCCACTGCCAGCTGTACTACTCCCTGACCGAGGCCCCCCTCGGCACGGACGCACTGGCACATAGCTGGCCTCGGGGTCTTCGCAAGTATGCGTTTACCTCAGTGAGCCTTCTCCCACAGACACTGTGTAAGGTCAGGGAAGACGAGGAGCAGGTCTTAATGGTTGCGCCTTTCTGGCCCACCAGGACCTGGTTTCCAGAACTCATGCTCCTCGCAACAGCCCTCCCTGGCGCATCCCCCTGATACAAGATCTCCTCTATCAGGGGCTCGGCACCATTTGGCACCCGCATCCAGACCTTTGGAACCTCCACGTGTGGCTCCTGGACGGGACGCGGCACACCTAACTGATCTGTCACCTGCGGTGGTTAACACGATCACTCAGGCTAGAGCTCCCTCTACGAGGCAAGCCTATGCTCTGAAATGGAGTCTGTTCATGAACTGGTGTTCTTCTCGTCGAGAAGACCCCCGAAGATGCACGATTGGAGTAGTGCTTTCTTTCCTGCAAGAAAGGTTGGAGGGTAGGCTGTCACCCTCCACCTTGAAAGTGTATGTGGCTGCCATCACAGCACATCATTATGCAGTGGACGGCCAGTCCCTGGGAAAGCACGATCTCATCGTCAGGTTCCTGAGGGGTGCCAGAAGGTTAAATCCTCCTAGGTCACCCCTGGTGCCCTCCTGGGACCTCTCTATCGTCCTGGCAGGACTTCAGAGGGGTCCCTTTGAGCCGCTGGATTCAGTCGAGCTTAAGTTCCTGTCTGCTAAGACAGCACTCCTGACCACGCTCACTTCCATCAAGAGGGTCGGGGACCTCCAAGCATTTTGTGAGCGAAGAGTGCCTTGTGTTCGGGCCGGCCTACTCTCACCTTGTCCTAAGACCCCGGCCTGGATACGTGCCCAAGATTCCCACCACTCCCTTCCGAGATCAGGTGGTGAACCTGAACCTCGGAGGAGGCAGATCCAGCCCTTGCATTGCTGTGTCCCATAAGAGCACTGCGCATATACGTGGACCGCACCCAGAGCTTTAGAAGCTCTGAGCAGCTCTTTGTCTGCTACAGAGGTCAGCAGAAAGGGAAGGCTGTCTTCAAGCAGAAGTTGGCCCACTGGATAGTGGATGCCATCGCCTTGGCGTACCAATCCCAAGGCGTGCCGTGCCCCCTGGGGGTGAGGGCTCACTCCACACGGAGTGTTGCCTCCTCCTATGCGCGGGCACACGGCGCCTCTCTGGCAGACATCTGTAGAGCTGCGGGCTGGGCGATACCGAACACCTTCGCGAGATTCTACAGTCTCCACGTTGAGCCAGTTTCTTCCTCTGTGTTGGGTAACAGGTAATCGGCAGGAAGAACTGGCCGGTGTCACGCTTGTTGTGCCATTCCCCCTCACCCGGGGATGCGAGCGCCTTTCTCCTCCTCCAGTAAGTTCCCTGGACGGCGAGCCCTGGCGGAGTATCCTCCAGCACCCCCGGCAGTCAGACTTGGCGGAGCAGTCTGACGCCAGGCCCAGTATCGATGTTAGCTTGCCCGGGTCTCCGGTCAGCCCCTGTACTGGGATAGGTGTCCATATGGCTTGATTCCCTGCGGGCAATCCAATATGTGTATTCTTCCATGGTAAGGTTTCCCTCTCGGTAAACCTGTGTTTTCCCTTTGACAGAGTGTTCTGTCAGTCTCTGCTGGCAGTTGTTCCATCTCTACTCTTAGGTAGGACCTTCCCCAGAGACCCATTCCATATGTAGTACTGCCCCAGACATGGGTCAGTCCATATGAGAATCTCCACATGTTACCTCCCTACGGGTAGGTGTGGCCTCCGTAGCGCCCTTCTCCGGAAGGCTCGCTTCCCCATAGTTTCTGCCTAAGCTGTAAACTACGAATCGGAAAGACTTGAAGCAAATCTTTTGTTGACAGTCGAAATCCCTTCTGTTAAGAAATTTCTGTGGGAAAAGGAACAGCGGCTTGGCTATCTCCAGCAGAGTTGTGTTCATCTGTGGTCCCTGCGGGTACCAAGGTCAGCGAATTTGCGTTGGGCCGGTGGGAAGGTTACGACCTTTGCGTAGCATCTGTCTGACACGCGGCTGCTTGCCAACATTGGCTACGTCATGGGGTTCTGACGGGGTTCAGGTTGTGGCGCTTTCCAGGGCCCCATAATGTTGATCACGACATAATTCGTAGTGACCGATAGATAGGGAACGTCTCGGTCATGTACGTAACCCTCGTTCCCTCATGGAGGGAACGGAGACGTTATGTCCCCTTGCCACAACCTCGAGAATGAGTGGATGGACCTGTCGTCTATTTATACCTGTATGCACGGGGAGTGGCTCAGGTATGCAAAATCCACTTGGCAAATTTCATTGGCATTTTCTCTTAAAGTCAGGGCTCCCAAGTGAATCCCCATAATGTCGATCACGACATAACGTCTCCGTTACCTCCATCAGGGAACGAGAGTTACGTATGTAACCGAGACGTTCTCTAAGAAGAATACAGAAAAATAAAAGCTAAACTTCAGATTAGATTAGTAACATACCTATTTAAAAAAATAATAATAAATGAATAAATAAATATTTTTTATAGCAAAAAGTGACAGATGATAAGAACATTACTGATGGACTTCATTTGTATTATTTTATTTTATTATTAATTGTTTTTCCTATCGATTTTTCTGCATGGATATTCTTTTTATATACATGAATAGCCAAACGTGATGTCCGGCCTAGGAAAACTGACATCTTTGCCCTGGGCTTTACTCAAAAATGTAATTAATTGTCAATAAATTGTATCGTATCATTGGTATCATTATTATCAGATCAGTACAATTATTTTTTTAACTTTGAAAATATCAGAACAGCATGCATTACTTTTATGACTTGTAGTCTTATCATTTGATAAGATATTAACTTTTAAGTCTACCTAAAAATAGGCAAGACAGACAACACTATTTGTGTTGTATAGCCACTACTGTATAGACTCTACTTCTGTATAGATTGTATAGCCACATAAACGTGGCTACAAAAAGTCTCGACTACAAAAAACAAAACAAAAAAACAATGTTAATATACAATGTGCATGAAACACCTCAAATCAATGCATTCCCAATTTCTTTATCTAGCAGGGCGGTTCTGAGTGTTATGTTGTGTGATTGTGAAAGTATCTTCATGTAAAGTTAACCACAATTGACCTTAATTTACTTATAAATTGAAAACCACTATTCTATAAACCCATATGAAATTGACATAACAGAATGTTGCTATTCAACCCAAATAACAATTTGCTAAATTATATTCTGAAAAGATTTCACACATTCACACACCTCTGAATTTTTGTATTAGCGTTCATGATCAGAGCAATTTAATGATATGTCAGCTGATACATATTGTCAAACACATTATTTTGTGAATTTGTTAACTTTATGGATTTTACAGATTAAACTTTTATAATGCTTTTATAATTAATCTCCCATGTTTGCTTCTAGCAGGACATAAGTGCATCACTTACCTTTCAGTACAAAACTAGTTTCTGTTTTGTCATGCCCATATGCCGTCCTCATCATCCTAAAACAAACACACATCACATTACTATAGAACTACACAGTTCCTCATTCAAGTTACTGAATTAATTCTTTATGGATCCCACATTGTACACAAGACTATTGCCAGAAACAACCACAATGAAGCACAACATTTTCTAAAATGACATTCTATGGCATAGAGTTAAGAGCTGTTTTACTGGAATTGTTGGAATAAACATGTCTATTAGAAGGGATTGTCCACATACTTGTTGTCATATAGTATAAATAATTTAAAATCATCTATCATGGCACCACAGAATTTTTTGAGCTATTTATATCACTATTTCTTGAAAGCTTTTAGAAGACTATTAGAAGTTTCTTAATGGAGTCACTATAACCTGACAAAAAATACTTTGTTTAAAAATGTGTGTGTGTGTGTTTACACAAGTACAGCACAGACAATATCTTATGAGTAGGCTTGGGTGTTTTTGTGTGTGTGTGTGCACTGGTTTGGGTGGTTTATGAGGACACACATTTGTATAATGACATGGGTATGACACAGGTATTACAATATGAAGGTGGTTTATGAGGTCACTATCTGTGTCCCCGTAATTCAAAAGGATTAAAAAACATACTAAATGGTGTTTTTTTTTTTTTTTTTGAAAATCGAAAAATGCACAAAGTTTTTTGTGAGGGGTAGGTTTAGGTGTAGGGTTGGTGTAGGGCAATACAAAATACAGTTTGTACAGTATAAAAACCATTACGCCAATGGAGAGTCCCCGTAAACCACCAATACCAACATGTGTGTGTGTGTGTGTGTGTGTTTGTTTGTTTGTTTAGGTCAGTGACCTGCTCTGGTGGGGGGGAGATCAGTACACGCTGCTGTCCATGATGCGAATGATGAGAATACTGTGGATGAATGTGTCCATCTTCATAATGTTCTGCCACGTGCTTCATCCTACTGTGTGCCTGATGAAGAATATACAAATATCATATTAAAACGCTTGTTTCTATATAATTAAACATGGGTAAAAGTGAGAACAAAATACAATTTTACCCAATTCTTCTCTCTCTCTCTCTCTCTCTCTCTTTTTTATGAAGTAATACAAAACAGTACAGATCGCATTTTAACATTTTACACTCTCTGTTTGTTCTAAATTCTAATTGGCTGGAGTAGACATTGGATGAATTCCACCATTTTTTGCATTTATGTGCATGTTTTCCAGTGAGGAATAGAATCCCACTCAGAGAATCCCACTTTCATATACATATATATCTTTATTGGAAATGGCTTAAACAATATTTTTCATACTTTTTCAATTAACCATAAACAATTATTGCACATGCACTTGTGGATGTTATGACAAACCACCACAGAAGCAATGATTGAACCCAGATGAAGGAGTTTACAGAGACTGAGAACAAATGTAAGTATACAAAGGGTGAGCATGCAGCTCGCACACAACAGTATAGAGCAAATACAATAGAGGTCCAACAGTGGAAGCATAGAAATAATATTCACAGGTAAGTATATCAAGTAATCAATGAAGGAATATATCAAAATAGTTTTTTTCCCCCCATTCACCTTAATATTCAAGAGATCGACAAGTTAAGTTTCAAAACACAGGGAAGGTTAAAGCTGTCACAAATCATGGTAGTCCAAAGCACGACGATGAAGATAAAGCTACTAAATAGTTTTAATAGTTTTATTTTAAAACAAACTCAAAAAAGGCAGGCAGGCAAAGTAGAACAACTACGTAACACTGACGATACCGAACAAATGAGGATTTAAACAGAGGAACTAAAATACACAGGTTGATGAAGCGAACACAGCTGAACAGGATACTACAATCAAATCAAAAACCATAGCAACACGTCAGACACACAGACAGGAAATGAACACAAGGACAGAAAACCAAACTAAACTGAATATCATTGTGACAAAAGCTGATAGTGTCACAAATCCTGTCCATGGACTTCCGTCCGATCGCCACCGGAGGTCACTCATCCATCATATTGACTCTCTCACTACACAGACTGTTACACATCACCACGGACTACATTTCCCATCATCCATTGCACTGATTGCACACAGCTGTAACCAACCACACACCCTACATAAGCCATGGACTTCCTCCCTCTCACTGCCGAGTATTGTTTAGTGCATATCACTCTTCTAGTGATAACTGCATTACGGAGCCATTCCTAGTTCCCGGTCCTAGTTCCCAGTTCTAGTTCTAGTTCTAGTCTTAGTCTAGCCACTTCAAGTTGCCCACTGGATACTGTTCGCCGATCAAAGACCCATGCTAGCCCTAGGAATATCCTTTGTCTTGCCTGTGATATACCCGTGTTATCTGACCCTTGCCTGTTTATTGACCACGCCTTTGTAAACAAAGCCTTGCACATGGATCCGCATGTCTCACGTCTCGTTCGCCCCGTAACAGAATACACTCGGCCACATAAGGATCCAGCGGCTTCTCGGATGAACATTGGCAAGGTATGAATATGGTAACCAATGAACCTCTAAAGACACGATTAATCCGTGAGGGTCCCCGTTCTTCTTTAAGTCAATTTATGGATTATGCTTTGTTTACTGTTGGTTCATTGTTCACTGTGGGTGTCGCGGAGGAACGCGACCCCGCACTCACTCATGTAATGGCGGCCGCACTAGAGCACGCTCACAACATAGCCGCTCTTTAGTGTAGATGCATGTTGATTTTATCAGACGATGCCGCGATTATAAATGAGAGTTACTCCTGGTTAACATGTATTAAAAGAGGTCATGTTTAGTCTCTATTTAGTGTGGTATTTTTTGACAATATTAATTTATCATGACAGTAAAATATGGCATTCTAAGTCAATATACTGCAGTATTTCCTCTCTCAATCAGTAGAAAATATGGTTAACACCCGGTCATGC